TAACAAGTTTTTCACCTTGCTTTTCCCTAAATCCAAACTAACTCCACCCAGGATTCCCAGACTAGCCTCCTCTTCTACTTCCATTCTTTTCACCGCTTCCTCCACCCACCCTCCCGCTCCAATCTTCATCGAACTGAGCCGCTGCTCCAACCGGCCTTCCAACCGGTCGAACCGCTCCATTGTTTCGAACCGCAAGTGATGCACGTCGGCCAGCAAGTGGGCCTGCAACGGCCCGCTAACGAACCTCGTGACTTGTTTCTCCAACTTCTCCATCTTCCTGGCCAGCTGGAGGTTTTTGTAGACGTTCCAACGGCCGGAAGCGAGGACTTTGCGGGCCAATTCGAGGCCCCCACGTAGGGTCTCGGAGAAACGGTCGAGCTGAGATTGACGAAGGGCGGGGAGCTCGACGCCGGAGTATTTGATTTCGTCGATGATGGGGAGGAGTCCTTGGATGCTCGTAATGAGGTTGTCCGCACTGGACTTGCAGAGGCATGACTTGCGTGAGATGGCGATTAACTGTTTTAGAAGTTCCGTTGCGATTTCGCCGGCGAAAAAGTCGTTAAACGCCATGCTTGGTTTAGGCGGAGGGAAGCGTTCCCGTGAGGAAGTGAGTTAAATCTTAAATGGCGGGCGCAACTAACTGCTGTTCTGTTCTGCCTGCTTTAGTGCTTACTGTCTTAAAAAGGTTGAATTTGCATAATTTTATTTTTATTATTATTATTAGTGTTATTGTTATTGTTATTTCTGTTTTTCATTGCACCCTTTGTTGTGGCATATTATAATAATTATTTTTTAAAAAATAAAAAATTATATTTCCATATTTTCTTTCGTGAAAATACTAATTTTAGATGGTATCCTTTAATATTTTACGTAATTTTAAAAGCAAATTTTATAAAATAGAACAGTCCACATTTTCTTTTAAATTTTCTTCGTTTAAAAAGTGAATATTTAATTTGAAACCGAAAAAACATTCTTCATCTTATTTTGATGTTAAATGTGTATTCAACTACTACTGATTTGTAATTTAATTGATAATAATGTATTCTTAGTTAATGAATAAGAAATTCATATAATTAATTAATTAATGAGAAATTAAGGTGTTGGTATTTTAAAATCAAAATTGTTTTTAACACATGAAATGGAAAAAAGATTTTAAAAAACTTTTTCTGGATAATAAATTCTAAAGAAATCGAAAGAGTTGAATCTCTTTCCGCTTTTAAAACTAATGATTTCTTGTCAAAAGTTATGAGTTTGAAAATTTCTTTTTTATTAATTATAATCCCGAGTAAATTTTATATTCAACATTCCTTTTGATCCGGCTTAAAACTTAAAAGATAAAACAAAACAATTAAACAAATTGATCATGCCACATCTTTCTATAAATATTTTAAACATTCTAGAGCTTATTTTAATATGGGATTGTGTTTTTTTTTCACTATTTTATTGCTCTCAATGGTGCTTCTTAGCTTGTAAGAGATGAATATGCTATCCTAATTACCTGGAAAAGCGATGTTAATTCCTGATTAAACCCTCAAAAATTATCTTTCCAATAAAGAATGTCCCCAAAAGAACAGTCTTCCTCTTACTTTTTGACTCATTAGTCTAAAATTGGTATCTTACTTATGGTTGGGATACACCTTGTTAAGTTAAAAATATTAAGCAACTCAAAATTTTCTTTTTCTAATTTTTGATTTATTTGTTTTTTAATGTTATAAATTTTTTATAATTCGACGCTCATATCCCGTCTCGAATATCTTTTATCATTCTATCAACAAGTAAAGACTCCTATCATGTCGACATCTAAAGGAATGCCCTTTCAAAACAAAAAAAAAAATTATGGTTTGGCGTGAATTTATGCAATGAACTTTGTCTCTCAAAAGGGAGACTGATGGGCATATGGGATTGCCATAGCTTTGACATTTAGGTTCATGACCAAAAAAAATTTACTCAAGTTTATAGTCTTTAAAGTCCCAAAAACAGGGCAACGGAGGCGTAATGCAAGGGTGCAATCAAGGTTTGATAAAGTCGTCTTTGTAGAAGAGAATTTGGCTATGATGAGTCGCGATATTCTTCTTAAAAAAAAGTGAACCTAACGTTGCCGCCCATTGAGTAGGGCTTTTTGACGAGCGAAATGGCCGTCGTGCCCTCATTCATTTCCTATCGGGAAGAGACGACTTGCTCAGTCAACGCATCCGAAAACTTGATAAACGATGAAACAGAACCAACACACTTGAGTTAACTGACCAGTGCTTGGTCAGGTACGGTAGCCTAAAATCACCTCTGAAACATTTCACCATCCCTGGAATGTAATTGGCAGACGAATTAAGATATATATGGCTGCGAACAATGGGTTGATGGATTGGTAGGGCGGAGGCAATTTTATAAGTTCATTTTCTCGATTTAAAAGATAAATGTATAATATCTTGATTGTATTGATTTTTTCATTTATGGACTCAACTTGATCCCAACCTGCTATGATTATAATATTTTTCATGAAAGCCTCAAGCTAGTGAAAAATTAAGTAAGTTTTGATAATATTTATATAAAGTTTATATTTATAGTTTAAAAACATATTTATTAAATAAAAAATATTTTAATTTATATTTGTTATTTTTTATTAATATGAAATTCGGAATAATAAAATTTTATTTTAATTTTTTTTGACGAAAGTGATTTGGGTGAATACTGTAAGGAGAATTTACTTCAGCTACATGGGTCGTTCATGTATCGAAATAAAGTCTATGGTGATTACCCATCCATCTCGAGGAATTAGAGCAACCAATGGCGGTTCATATAGAATAGTCAATGCCAAAACTTGGAGCCACCAAATTTTCTTTCTTTCTCTTGTTTTAAAGAGTCATTACTCATAATTATAGTATGGAAGAGTCCTGTCCGTACTATTCCCTAAAACTATATTAATTCTTTTGACTCTTTGGACGATAGTTATGTCAATAAGCTGGCAATTATTATAGCCATTGAAAATTGGGAGAAACTTTTATCGCTTCCGGCTTTGTGCTGCTGAGTAAAATATATAGAGAGAAGCCATGGTTGGGTTCAGACTGAGGTAAGAGTGCCCTTTGTCAGTTGCCCCTTAAGCAAAGCATGAATCAGGCGACCGAGTCACTGATTCACATGGTTTAAATCCAAATGGGTACGTATTATTTAACTATTTTTGTACTGGTTTTTAGTTGTCAACATTAGACGCTACGTATACTAAAGGTCTTATCTGTCTTTGCTGAGATCAGGCTACCTACAGCTGTTCATATAGCAAGCTCAAGTAAGTGCAGAGATAAGCTAAATAATACATTAGAAAATAAGGCAAAATTGGACTATCTGTGTTTCCCTCAGCCTGGTTTTGGCAGCCCTTCTCTTCAATTTTATGGATAAACTATCAGCCTGGTTTTGATAGCCCTTCTCTTGGATTTTATGGATAAACTATCTGTTGGCAGCTAGAAACTGATATCTGATCCCTGTTTTGCTCCTCAGCCCTCACATTACTATATATAAGCCGGTGTCCTAAGAGAGAACCAGAGTTCATACTAGTATTGTTCATAGTCACCTAGCTACTCTTGAATCTTGAGGCTGAGTACTGCATGGATATGCTTAGTTTTTCTTATTAGTTTTATAATCAGGATCCAAGACCAAATTTTGCGTTGGTTAGGTTAGGGAGCTTACAAAGCTTGAAAAGCATTTTACTGATACATCGACTTTTACTTAAAACTCTTTCATTCATGCTTTAGGTTTCTTACCATAGTGATTTTCGCTGGTAAAAATTTTGGTTAAGAAGAGAAGATTAGTCTTAGCTATATCGCTCGTTCATGTGTAAGAAAAACCATCTCATGTATAATTTGTTCACAAAAGTCTATCCTGATGAACTGATGATTTCACCCATCTTGACGAATTGATCTTGACAAGTCAACGCCAAAGCTTAGAGCCACAAGTTTCTGTGGTATTTTTGGGTGTAAAGAGTAGTCATCGATTCATTATTCTTAGTTTAGAAGAAGAGTTCTGTCCGTACTACATTTCCTTTGACTCTTTGGAAGATGGATATATCAGAAGAGCTGGGAATTGTACCCATTGAAAAAACATACATAGGAAGCCATGGTTGGAGTGGCCATTTGGGGTATAAACGCCTTAATCATATTAAGTATGAATCTGACCGAGTCCATTTTTTCTGAGCCTAGCCCATCTCGCGGATTCTATTGGAGTTGGTAAATTTACATCAAATATAGATTATTCTTAATGGATAAACTCTCTGTACTGGCAGCTAAAACTTTCTGATATCTCTCATTCATTCCTGCTGCTCACGACCAGGTCCAACCTCAACCACCAGGGCTCATTGTTGATCAACACAAGTTTGACTTGGCCATGACGCTTGCCTTCTTTTCAATTCATCAATTGAAATGGCCCTCCGGTTCTTGCAAACTAGATCGCACTTTCCACTTATTTTTCACTCACTCTCCCTGTCAATAACATTTGCATTTGCTTTCCTAATCGTTAGCAGATGCCAGAAATATTCCAGATTTGATCCAGCAGCCCATGTGCTTGAGCAAGGTGGTTGCTTCTTTGCCATTACAGCATTTTTCATAGCCATTACTATCCCGTTTCATCCCTGGCCCAAATGTGTAACATGGACTATTTACGCTATCTCCATGATCACCATTTTGACATGCAATTGCCTTCAAGCACTCTTGTAAAACACATCTATTTTGTTTTATTGAAGAAAATATGCCTGCTGCTATGAGTAGACTAGTTATATTAATATGTAAAGTTTATTATTCTATAGAAAGCATGCTAAAAAGAACCATATGCCTCAACAGAAGCAGCCTAAAGCCCATAAACAACCAAACCTTAGTAACCCATATGTCCACACCTATACATGCAAAACTGAGCCCATATCATCATCAGCTCATCCAAGCGTAATCACAACCTCACTTAGGGAACTTTGGTATTGCAAAAGGCACACAAGAAAGAAATTAAAAAGCCTTCAAGTATGAAGGAATGATGCAAAAGTGTACTAAGATTTCGCATTTACCTGCTACATGTCTTAACAAAAGTTTTGGTCTGTTGTAGTATAAACTTAACACAATACTTTCCACAAGAATACATTTCAACCAAAGAAAACTAGTAGTGATACCTCTGACGTGCTGTACAGTATCAGAATTACCAAATTCCTAGTCATACACAGAGCTCTAGCTGTACAATTACCTTAATCCCCTTCACTGTCCTTCATTTGAAGGCTAAGGTTAAAAATCTTTCTTAGCATTTGGCTGATAATATAAGTTTGTAGCTGTCCTGTAGTGAGCCTCCACTACTATTAGCTGCTCCCCCTCCTCTTCAGGTCCTGCAGATTTATCCTACTCATCATAGACCCATTCAGATACACGATAACGAGAACTTACATGATCACCTAACCCTTCAGCCAATTTTGAATCAAGCAGCTCAAGTTGCTTTTTGATCCAAGGAGGATCATTGGGACTCAGCCAGAGAGCTTCACCAGTATCTTTGTGCTTAAAATCTGGCTGCCGTGGATTTTTCTTACTTTTCCTATTGTCCCACCATTCAAATGGGTTGGTAAAAAATACTTGCCACAAGTAAAGTTGCCTTTCGTACCTCTCCATACCAGCTTCACCTACATCTTTTACTAGAGAAAGAAAGAAAACACAATAAGCATGGAGCCAAAGAAGAAATAAAAAACCTCCTAGTAGATAACGATTGAAGAGTGATTTTGATAATTAGCAATTTTCTAAAGATTATGGCTCACTAACTCATACAATAGGCCAGACATAATACGTCTGAGAGATTAGACATCTGTCCAGCTAAGTGGTAACAAATGACATATAGATTAGCCAAAAAAAAAAAATGCTGTTTTCTAGATTACCTCTAGCTATGAATTCACAAGTCAAACCACACAATTAATAAAGCATACAAAATAAGAATGATAGACAGAAACAATTGTACCTTGTTCTGATTGTAGTTCCTTGTATTTTTGGGAGGGTGATCTTTGACCATGTTGTGCAACAAAATTCAACTCTTTTACATTTACCTACAATAACATATGAAATGAACAAGCATTGTTTCCACGGTCCACATCTATCCATATTTGCATTTACATTAAACCAACATTAGAAGTCTATTGGATTTGGATTAATTGTGTTAGCTCCAACTAACGCATCAGATTTGTTGTAGACAATCACATTCCATTAAAAGGTTAGGATTATAAGTTTGATTAATGCCATGAAACATAGTAAATATCGGTATCAAAGAAACTGAAGAACCTGGTAACATATAACGCGTTGCCCATCTTCATTAACCTTAGAGAAGGACACTAAATGCCCTGAAACATAAATTAAATCACCGGGCTTCACATGTTTCACACACATTTCACCCATATCGTTCCACATAAACAGTAATATCCTGTTTTAAAATCATAAATTTCCAACATTAACATTTCAGTGTAAAGGCCAAAACTTGAAAATAAAGAAAGAAAATTAAAAAATTTTAAAAAAAGGAACTGACTTGAATTTCCGATCGGAATCATGGGGGTTTTTGACATTGAGCAAGGTGTGAACCCCAAAGTTATCGGTCTTAGTGTTCATAACTCTGAGAGGACGATCCACGGTTCCTATGAAGCTGACATGGTTCCGCAACCGAGGCTGCACTACTACCGTCGTCGGCCGCTGGAATTTAAGCGCGAGTCTGTAAACCGCGCTGCCTCCTTCGTCATCATCGACGAATGAATTCGAGAATCTAGGGTTCGACGCTGCGGATGAATGGAATGGGTTACAATTTTGCAGGGGAAACCGAGACCTGCTCCCGAGGATTACCGCTCTGATACGACGCGCGATCATAAATTCCACACGTGGCAGTGATCGGTGAATATGAGGAGGGATGCGACGGGAGATTTGACAAGTGAATATTCGACTGGGAGTAGCATTCAAAACGGAGGAGTTTGGCGGGTTTTTTCTTCTCAGAGAAGGGATTTTGGTTAGCTGGAATTAAATGATCCGACAAAGAGTTATACTTTGGATTGGACCGGGTTTGAGGACAAGAAAATGGGCCGTTACAATTCTTCTACATTGCCCATAACAATTTGGACAGCTTTTTTTTTAAAATTAAACTCTTTTTAAGAAATTTAGCTTTAAATTAAAAAATAAATTTTTTTACTATGTTTAAACAAGTTTTATATTTTTATTTTAAATCAAATAAAATTTTTATAATAAACAGTAATTCATTAATTATTATTAGATAAAATATTATTTATCATTTTTACACTCGTAACACTAACATGAAATATGAAAAAAATCACATAATCATATCATTATATACATCAACATGTCATATTATCATTTATTACAATATATTAATATATCATATAAATATTACATAACATAAAATGACAAATAATATTTTAACTAATAACAATTAATTAATCACTAATCACAAATGTCTATTTAATCTAAGAAAACATGATAACTTATTTAAAATTTTAAATTATTCAATTTTTAAAAAATTATATAAAAATAATAATTTATTGTCTCTCATTGTGTTAATATTTCAATTTTTGTAATTAATTATTATTTTTTATCTACACTCTCATTTTAATCTTTGGCGTAGACGTAGAAAATAAATAAATGCAAGCATGTGAATATTCCTAAAAATTACCTTTTTGACGTGGACGACTAGGCATTACCTGTTTTTGCCCTATTAGGCCGTTACCGTTCTACTGCCTCGTTCATATTGTCTTTTTAACGGCTCAATACCAAATGAAAAGTATTATCATCACTTTAGCATATAAAATAAGATTAACTGAGTCAAATATAAGTGTGGGTGTACCACATTTCACTCTATTTGGAAGAGTCAAAACCTCAACTCAGCTGCAATCTTCCACAGCAAAGCATTATCCTGTGATTTCCATAAGATTTTATTGATAAATTTATTACTAGTAATTCTAATTTAAAATCTTCTATTTTCTAAGCTTCCTATGTAAATTTTTCTTTTGCTCCTCTTGAGAAAATTAAAAGACAAGTATTAATTATATTTTAAATTGAGATCGTTGACTTAGGGCATACTTACATTAATTGCACATTTGTTTCATATATGGGTTTATTTTTACTTTTTAATTTTTTTTATAATTTTTTATTAAACATGATATTTTATAACAATTAATTAACAACTGCCTTAAATTAACACGTTCGACCCTCTCTTGTTTGTTTTCTCAAAAATATTAACTTTGTCATTGATCTAGACTTATCTTAATCTCAATATTTCTTATATCTGTTTTACATTAATAAAAAATTAAATAATTTTTAATATTATTTTATCATGTAATAATACACAAGAGTCAATTTTTACGTATTTAATATGAAATTTCATAATATTTTTTCTCAGTCTATTCAACTATCCTCACGTCACAAGTCTGGTAATCTTATCTACTCCACGTGTTTAAACGCAATTCGGTATAAAAAAGAGGAACAAACATTCGCAGTTGTTGATTAAAATAATTTCTTTGGATGATGCTCAATAAGTCACGAAATTATAGCAGCAAAACTACATCGTTTTACTATTTGTGGAAGCCGAACCCCGGCATACTCCAGGAACACGGCGAGTGGTAGATTTTGTCAACATTGACTTTTTAAATTTATTTTACTGATTTGTATTTACAAATTCAAAACCAAAAAAACACACAAAGTATATTAAAAAATTCCATCGCTCTCCTCTGCCACTGTGTCGCACGCACCTGGTCAGACAAAGGGCAAAAAAGGTAAAAAAGGAAAAAAAGGGCAAAGAGAGAGAAAATCACGCATTGACTCTAGAAAAGACAGGAAGAAACAGAGACATGTCGTGTTACTGACTCCGATCGCTTCAAACAAAAGGGCGGTTTATTACAAACTTTCGTTTTAGTCTTAGATGTTTATCTGTTTAAAGAGTTAATTGACTGTAATAAAATTTAATTAATTATTTATTTATTTTAAAGGAGAAGACAAAGTAAACAGAGAAAGAACCGAGGTGTTTCCATTGCTCTATCAGACAGACGGGGAGGAAAAAAAAACTCAAAAACTCTTATGTTTTGTCTGTTAATTTTCAAATGACGACGACGAGTTCAACAAAGACACGTCTCTTCTTCCTCTCTCGATGCCTATTTCCCGAGCTTTTCCGTACCTCTCGTCTTCTCTGCCGTCTCGTCATTCTCTTCACGACGACACTGGTAATGCCAGTGATTCTTCGTCTTTTGGTGGTGGTGGTGGTGGTGGTAATAACCAAGCTCAACAGCAGCGCCGGCTCAAGCGTCAGAGGAAGCTTAGGCACGTGACGGATGATGAGCTTGGCTTAAGGTTTAGCGATATCGATCGTTCGTTTTCCTCGCCCGGTTCGCCAGATACAGCGGCGAGGAAGTCGAGGTATCCGGACTGTTTAGAACATTGGTCATCGTCGGCGGTGCCGAAACCTTTGCCTCTGCCTGAGGTGTTCATAAATCGGAAACCGAAGACGTCGGGTTCGAGTCCTGGACCGAGTCAACTCGCATCACCCGATGAAGAACTGGCCTCTGCTTGCGGAAGGTAGCCTTGATTGCTCTTGCTCTTTAATTATTTTATTAGTTTTTCAATCTAAAATTTAACGCTTCATTTATTTATTGGGATAAGCTTAATTCTTTAATATTTACCGGATAATAATTGAGTAGTTCCAACATTAACTGAAATATGAAGAGGCCCGCCTTCACCGCTCCATGATGATTTTATTTATATATTTATTTATCTTAAGCAGAATTAATTAATTTTACTAGGTGGTCTTGCAAATTGCATTTAATTACAACCGAACTCTTGCTAGTTGAGCTAAGTGTATTCTCATGGCTGAGTTCTCTTTATAAACTCATCTGATGCAAGGATCCATCTATGATAAAACCATGTGATGCATATTTTTACTTTGCAGCCATTGTTGTCTTTCACTTACTTATGGATAATGGTAGTAGTCTTGAAAGATAAACTTTTGTTGGTGGTTGCATATGTTATATATAAGATTGAAGTATGGCTGTTGGCTGTAATTCTGCTGATCTGCTTCACAAAATTATCAGGAAAAATGCAGATCATGCTGCTAAAAGTTGTCCAGCAAAATTATCAGCCAATGTTCATAAGGGATTCTCTCAAGATGAACCTGTTGAAAGGGTTAACAATGGCTCAAGGCAAAGAGTCCCTACAAGGAGCAGTTTACCAAGTTTTCTCTCAACCCCGATTAGTCCTCGAAGACCAAACACTCAAGATCACTTTGATTCTTATGATGTTGCAGATTCAACCAAATCTTTATTAAGTCGTCGCAAGGTCTCTCATGACCTAAATTTTGGAAGTGTTAACTACAACTTGAGGTTGAACGTTCCTGCCAGGAGTGCTCCAACAACTGCTTTGTCTAGTCCTTCTGTTAGCCCACAAAGATCAAAAGCAGTAGATTTTTTTCCTTCTTCCTCGTCAGGTCCCCAAGAATTACGGGGGTTGATAGATTTAGATGTTCTACATGTAGGTAGAGCTGCTGCTTATACTTCACCAGTGTCCCCAGTAAAAACTGTACATACTCCTGAACATTCTTCACTGCACAGCCCAGGTCCACATAAAATTTCATTTGCATCCTCTAGGGACTGGCTTGAAAGTAATAGTCAAGTAAATGCCCATCCATTGCCCCTTCCCCCTGGAGCTTTACCATCATCACAATCACCAATGCCACTACCATCACCTGTTTCAAATCACAACATAGAAAAGCCAATTGCAACATCAATGATAAGTCAATGGCAGAAAGGAAGACTTCTTGGACGTGGTACATATGGAAGTGTTTATGAAGCAACCAACAGGTATGCAAGTGTTATAAAGCAAATTTTTACAGTGGTTTATTCATTTCTTCTTTCCAGTAGTGACATTTCTTTATGTTTTGTTTGACAGAGAGACTGGAGCTTTGTGTGCAATGAAAGAAGTGGATATCATCCCTGATGACCCTAAATCTGTTGAATGTATAAAACAGTTAGAGCAGGTTATTCTCTAAAGTTCTTTATCACTAGTTTATGTTTTAGTAGTCATTAATTAACTTTTGTGTGTCCACTATCTGTTGCAATTTTGAGGCTTGAAATTGTGTTAGAACTTCAGTATGAGTTATAACATGTTCTTTTATCCCCTAAAACAAGAGAAGAAATATTTCACTCAAAGTACTTCACTTTTTTAGCTTCTGAATAATTTTTTGTTCATTAAGTGGATTCCAAGCATAGCTTCATCATCCTCTAAATTGATCATGCTGTAAGAGATTTAAGCTATTGACATTCTTGCTGGTCTTATGTATTGCAGGAAATTAGAGTTTTGCGAAATCTAAAGCATCGGAATATAGTTCAATATTATGGCAGTGAAATAGTATGTAGTCCTTCTACTTATCCTACACTATTGCTTAAATAGACATTTTGTAAGCTTGGTTAAGTTGGGGGTTCTTGTTTCATATGTAGGTTGATGATCGCTTTTACATATATTTGGAGTATGTCCATCCTGGCTCAATTAATAAATATGTCCGTGAACACTGTGGAGCTATAACAGAATCTATAATTCGCAATTTCACCCGCCATGTTCTATCTGGCTTAGCATACTTGCACGGTTCAAAGACAATCCACAGGTGACAATCATGCACAATTAGAAGGAATGTAGATTTATGTTGTAGCTTAGCTTCTTTGTTTGCATTACACTTATTACTTCTGAATTCAATGAACCAACAAATGATGGGTGAAATGTTCTTAGGGAAACTTTGCTCCATATTACAACCATCCAAATGGTTGAACTGGAAACGTTGTTGTCAAGATGTGATTCTGTTTTTTTGTTATAGTTTTTGATGTTTCTTGTCAACAAAAAATTTCATTGACTTGAATGCTTGTTCGTATAGGGATATAAAAGGGGCAAATTTGCTTGTCGATGCAAATGGCGTTGTTAAACTTGCTGATTTTGGCATGGCAAAACATGTGAGTTTTTGATATCCTTTAACTTCTTATGGTGTAGTGTGAATTTTATGACTCCAAATATTATATTACCTTTACATGCTTCTTCAATGCTATATGTTAGTTTTATAATTCCTTTCTGAGGTCTATTTTCTGGTTACTTCTAGATTTGCATGTTTCATTGATAAACATTCTGTGGTGTAATGGGGAGCATTCTTGTGGTTACATGCTTCAGCACCTGTTATAAACATACGTGTAGGGGATGCTAGTGCCTGACATAATGAGAACTTGTTGCTATTCCTATGTCAAGCCTATTTATTCAAAGGCCATTCTTTCTATCCTTAGGCAGGGTTCTCTGTTTATTTGATAGCTGACCCCTGCTGCTTCTCTTTATGGTCATAAATTCCATAATGATATCAATTGTCACCATTTATGGTTGTTTATCTGGAATTATGCACTCTATCAAGTTGCAAGAAGATGCTCTATGATTTACATAGATTTGACAATATTTAGAGTAATACTTTGAGATTATGATGATTGATTGTGTTAGTCTGATGATATGTGCTAAATGTCTATTTAAAAGGGTCTAATTTCTTTCTTTTCTTCTTTTTTCCTTTTTGTTTTTTATTAATTGCAGCTTACAGGACTATCATACGAGCTGTCTTTGAAGGGCAGTCCATACTGGATGGCTCCTGAGGTAATTCATATTACTGTAAATTGTACATATTTTATGCTTTCCTGTTTTGACGGCTTTGCTTTACTGTTGTTATTCTATTGCAGGTCATAAAAGCTGTTATGCAGAAAGATGCCAACCCAAATCTTGCTCTGGCTGTTGACATATGGAGCCTGGGTTGTACCATCATTGAGATGTTTAATGGTAAACCTCCTTGGAGTGAGCTTGAAGGGGTAAGCCCATGTTCAAACGTTTATTTGATCGTGCCTCTTTTCAGACTTTGCTTTTCATTTATTGTAGACTGGATTCTTCAAAATTGAGAATTTTTTGCATAAAAGTTTATACAAAGGTTTTTATATGAATGTTTTGACTGTCATTTTGTATCAATCAGCCTCAAGCTATGTTCAAGGTATTGAACAAAAGCCCGCCAATACCAGAAGCATTATCTCTGGAAGGGAAGGATTTTCTGCATTGTTGCTTTCGAAGAAATCCTGCAGAGCGACCATCAGCTGTTATGCTACTTGAGCATCCTTTTGTACGAAATTCAGCTGATCAAAATGGATCGGCCCTCATGCAGGCATTTTCTAGAATGAATCTAATGGTAAGCACCAATGAGTGATTCTTTGTTGTTGGACCCATTCATGAGCTCCACAGTAACATTGTCATCTTGCACTGAAATGCAAATGTTACTAGTACACTGATACTATGTCTATGGTCACATAGGATAAACCACATAGTCCGAGAAACTGCCCTACACATAAAATTGAATTGATGGCTACTTCCCCAGGCACAAGGATCACGAATGGGAAATTGCAATATAATAGGTATATGATGTGCATATTCACATACATTCCACTAGAATATTCATCATATAAATATTTGTCGAATCATTAGTTTCACTCATGCATGACTCTATGATCTGGCTTCATGATATATAAACTTTGTTTTTCTTTCTCTATATTCGTTCAGTGAGACTGGCCAATCCTTCAACGCCAAAACTATAAACTGTGCTACAGCGTCTAATCATCTCATCTTTTCCACTCTCGAGGTCTCCACTTACACATCTGCAACAAGACTGATCCATGGTTCACATAGTTTCAGCCCTTCTTCACACGTCTCCAGCAACATGCCGCTTGGCACAGTGAACAATCATCCATGTGCTCTGGGGAGGACTCAAGGGAAGGAAGTCCCACACATCTGAAACCAGTAAGACTCCCCATGTGCCTAGCTTGGAGAAACTGGCAAGTTTCTAGCTGAGATTTTTGGCAATGCCATCTTGAGCTTTGGTGACCTGATTTGTCTACCATTTCCCATGGCTCTGATACACGTGCTGTAAATAGAGAGAGTTCTCTTAGTTGTTTAATCCTCTCAGCCGTTAATTTTTAAGCTGCTAATTTTCTCATTCTTTTTTTGGTTGGGGCTTGTATCAATAGAAGGAGTTCATCTCTAGGATTACACAGGCTGCAACATTCAAAGGATTTGTAAAAACTTACTTCCTGTATCTGTGAAATTGAAATTCCTTCCCACTGATCATATGATAAGGTCGAGATTAGGGTTATTGAAATATTAAATACTTCGATAATTAAATAGTTTTGAGCTTTTTCGACAATCATTATCCTTAAGATGAGTAGGTCTATTATATAGTAATCTCTTACTTATTTTGTTGAAAATTTCTATAAATATTTAATAATGTAAGATTATTGAAATAATGTGTACTTGGTTATTGAAAAATTAGATTGATTTGATTATTTTATAGTATTTTAGATTATATATACAATATTATAAAAAATTATTAATATTTATATTATATATGAATAATATTTATATAAAATATATTGCATATATTTATATTATGTTTAAAAAATATATTATTAATGATCGGTTTAGTTGTAAATTAAATTAAACTTCAAATGATATATCCGAACAGCATCCCAACGGGTCGGGTCAATGAACCCCCCCCAAAAAAAGGGTAATCGCACTTGAGGCGGGAAAAAGGGTTTTCCCCGCCCATTTTGTTTCTCGACACCTATAAAACCCTAGAAGATAAACCGAGAGGTCCGTTTCATTGTCCAAACATTCACATGAGAACCATATCCAAATGGAGGACGTGAAAATCATCACGGTCTCCGATCTACTCCGGTACGGTCGTCCCCACACCGGATCATCATCTCCCAGCCCTCCGATCATCTCTCATCGTAGCCCTCAACCGCCCCCTGGGCCTTCCAATCCAAACCCTAGTACGAAGCGTAATGCTCTGACTCTGTTGGGAGACGCGGCTATTCTTGTTGGAACACTAACTCTCCCAACCTTAACCCTAAAATGTCCCCAACAAAATTGCCTCGAATTCTCCGACGACTCCTCTGCCATCTGCTGCGACATTGTCGGACTTGATCTCCGTATCATCGGTAAGAAAATTCACGTTCTTACCTGGAATTTCATTCCTTCTAAGCATCTTACTGGCGGATTCTTGGAAATTGTTAAATGGGAGTTTCCAGATTGGACTCACGGGCTCAGTCAATGTTCCGGTTTAATAATTGATTCGTTTCCATTAGGTTCGGGTTCTAGTGAATCCAAACCTCGCAATTCTAAATCCTATCAAATTAACGGCAGATTAGAATCAGTTAGTCCTGTTTTTGTTGTTCCATGTTCATTTAATGATTCAAGTTCGTGCAATTCAACGAATCTTCGAGGTTTTATTGTGAGAATCATGGCTTGCGAATGCAAATTGTGTGAGTCTAAAGAGTCTGTTGGGGTTTTATATCAAGGACCGGATTGCCATTCTTTTACTGAACCGGTGGTTGTGTATTTTTGTGAGTCTGCTTGGTGTTGGCATCCTGCAATGACAAAGCTTATTGGGAATGTTGTCACGATCTCGGGATTGAGGAAGAAGTTGATTTTCATCGGGAAGGAGGAGTCTGATTTGATGTTTGTTATTGCGGAGAACTCTGTTTTGCATTTGCCTAGATTGTTGAAGAAATGCGTACCCTTTTCTAGAAATGTTGTAAAGGGAAATGGTGAGTGTGGTTCTTATACTGGCATTGTCAATAATGTGTATATGCAAGGGATGGTTGTTGAGCTGGACAAAGAAGTATGGCTTTTACTAACTGATCAGCTACTCAAGCCACCACATGGCCTTAGGGTGGGGGCTGTTGTAAGTAAAATTTTCATTTTATTCATTTATTGTTTTATTATGATAATCTTCTGCCGGTTGAGTGGTAACACTGTTTATGTTTAACCATTTCCTTGTTTTTTATGAGCAGATTTCTGTTAGAAATGTCCATTTTGTGAATCCAAAATTTTCTTGGGCAAAATTGCTTGTTCTTGGGGCATGCTTCAGGACAAGCATCAAAGTAGAATCATTCTCACCATTAGAGACAGGGTATATAGCTCATGTCATTGACTATTGTCTGTTATCATTTTTAGCAATGCTACAGTCTTTATTCTTTTGGGAATTTCTATAGAAATTGAATATTGCATTTTTTATTCTTTTACCCACTCGTATGCTGGCTCTACCAGTTCAAAGATGGATGATTCGATGAAGGTATTTGATGTGCTTAAGACCTGAAAGGATGACCCACACGCATGAAAAGTAATTCAACTGTATGCTGCAGGTGTCTTATGGTTTCACAGTCAGAGAGCCGGTTGGGGAAGTTCATTGAGTCTTTAGCATTTTCTACCAGGCTGTGGTATGGATACTTCCAGCTTTTTGGAGATAATTATGGTTTGATTTACTGGTTTAAGGTGCATGATTTTCAATATTATTTGCTGAGTTTTTGGGTTTCAGGGTACTACTTCTCGTTTCATGTTTCCAGAAAAAGTTCTCTGGGATCTTATCTGGAAAGAAGATTTTGGGATCAAAACATGTAATTAACTTGCATACCTTCATGTGTTTTTTTTTACTGGCATGGAGTTTACAGTTTTATGTCGAATCTTATAGTTAATTTCAACAATTATTATAATAGTTTTCTGCTGATCTGACTTGGATAGTTTCAAGGTATTTTCAGAATAAAGGACTCGCTCAAATGTTTGCTAGCACACATTTACCTTCGTCAGTGTTTCGAGCACGGGTAAATCAGTAAATTTGTGTTGATATTGTGATTACATTTCTGTGCTGGTGATACCATTATCATCTTGTAATGAGTTTGCGTTGGCAGCACGGAGTGTTAATGGAATTCAATAAACATGAATCATGTGGCTGTGCTACTGAACCATATCATGGCAACCTGAAGCTGGTAAGCCAAGGGCCTTGCATATTTGTTGGAATAGATGTGAAATAGCTTACATTAGCTTTTCAAATGTCCAATTGAATTGTATTTTTGTGGCTAGTTTGTTTTCTCAACAGCTATTAACTATTGATTTTTTATTTCTTGCGGTTATTTTTAGGTGGTAACCATCTCCAGTTTTATCCATCAGTGTGAGACCCTTTGGATAAAGACACTGTCACAACTGGATATTGTCCACCCAAGGTCATGTGGAGGGAAACCTTATCTACCATCAAAAAGGAAGACTTTTAAGAGTGAAGACTTAGGTATTGTTTTGGTAGGAAGGTTAAAGGTTAGTAATTTAGCTTGTATGTACATATGCAGGCAAATGCACATGTTCATTTAGTTCTAAAAGTGAACACTGAAGGTAGTAGTGGCGTGATGGAGGGCATATTAGTGTGAAGGTTCTAGTTGCACATAGAAGAGGGAAAGAGAACTAATCTTAGCTGCTGATTTATTAAAATTTATCTTACAAGATCAGTAAGTTACACGTAGGATTTTGATTTTTGATGAGGGTATTAAAACCACTCTGCATTTTTGTATACTTCCTTTGTTAAGTTCTTGTACTATGCATTTGGCAATTTAAGTTGCAAACAAAGTAAAGAGAAATGGTGGCAAGTGGTTTAAAGTGCTATTAAATCTTGCTTCAGCTGTTTGGATTCTAGTCAAGTAATGAGAATGGAACTGAGGCAACTTATTACAACGTGATATCTTATTTATGTTATATATGAAGTTAAGGGGCTTATTTTGAAAAATTAAAAGAAAAAGCTACAATAGTTATTCTATTTCTCTTCAATTTCAACTTTTGGGAGACTTGAAGGCAGGTTAGCAAAGAAATTATGAGTGATAATTTCCCTAATTCCCGTTATCTCTTCACATTTTTGCTGTCCAAACTAAGAATTGATATATGCTCTATACTTCTCAGCTTCCCACTCCTCTTAAACCAAACATACTTTAATAGCTTAAGATACATTTTGTGGAATATTAGCTTTCATTATTCTAATCATGGTTTTTCTCAACTCTACAGATATCTCCTTCTTCTGGAAGATTGCAATTGGTTGACATGACTGGTAGCATTGATGCTATTATACCAGACCTTCCATCAAATTGGAATCCCGACAGTATATTTGAGGTTATATCTGTTGATTATATTTGACATGCTCTTTATCATCTTGTCTTGAGCTGCATGGTACTGTTTAGGAGGGATTATGCATGGTTCTAAGCATATTCCAAGTTTCTATAGTTGCTCTATTTTTCGTTGGTTTTTCAGGTAATTGATTATAGTCTAACTGTGGAAGGCATACCTGAATCCGACCATTTAGGGTTATTTAGTACTGAATCATTCTCATGCAGAAGTATCTTCCAGTGCTTTTCATCAACAAGAACAAGAAACTTAAAAATGTTTGTCTACTTTCACCTGTGCGATGCAACAAGCAGAAATCTTCCCTTTTATCCATCTTTAGACCGTCAGGATGAAGTAAATGAAACTGGAAATGGAACATTCCATCTTATCCACATAACTCACAAATTTCCTCCGCTGCAGAAGGTAAGCATCCATGTTGTTCTAATTGTTTGGAAAAGCTGCTTCAAGTATATTTTCTTCTGTTAATCACATTTGAACTTAGAAGGAATAACAAAGGCTTCAGAGTCAGTATTAATGTTATCTTAGTCATAAATGTTATGCCATCACATACTTATTTCAATTTTATATTTGTTTTCATAGTTTAAAGGTGATTCAATGATATCAAAGAGGTCTAGTGTGTTTGCTGAGGCTATAGTCTTACCATGGTATTTGTTTCTTGCTGGAAAAGATGGAACTGTGCTTCCAAATAAGGTTTCAAGGGATTGTACTGGTGGTAACTGCTTAGATCATGCTCCTAGGAAGAGGCACAAGACTGATTGTGCAACTAGTTATGTGAGTCCAGGTTTCAAGGACAATTTGGGCTGTGCTAGCTGTGAAAAAAGCACTTGTTCTTCTAGGGAGACCTGTGGTTATCAGAGTTGTCTGAGAATGAATTTTTCTCATGAAATTCCATGCTTGGCTACCATACAAGGTGTTAATAATTTTATCTTTACTAGTTCAGGGTTTTTGTATAGAACAGAGGCCAATGCAAAGATTACAGTTTGCAAAGACAGTGCAGATAAAATTTTGCTGGAGTTCACATCTGGGAGTGATTTGAAGTATCAGGTATTATAGATTCCTACTCTTCCCCCTTTTCTGTGATTCACATAATGCATGGATGATGAATAGTTCTTACAGGGATTTTGCTCATAGAAAAAAAAAATGAATTGTGTTCCTTTTCATTTAATTTCAGTTATTGCAGATTGGTGGTTTTTACTTAATGAAGCACCATATGGAAGACCCCTTCTGTAATATTAAGAAGAATGATAATTTCAGTGGTTTTAAAGTTCTCATGAGTTCTGGAACATACTTGCGAAGAGTTTCGTTCTCTCCTGAGGTTCTTACCACTTATAGATCATTACATGATCCTTCATTAGGTGATTCTTCTCTATGCAATGATGAAGTCCTGCCAACAGATCAACTGTTGAAGGTTGCCAGTGATTCTTCAATTTCAGATGTCCATCTTCATGTCTCTTCCAGTTTAATAGGTCTCTTTGAGATAAATACCAAGGAACTGGGGAAAGGCCTTAATGTGCCTGGTCCAGGTACAAATATAGAGGAGAACTCTAGTCTTTCTTCAGGCATTGAGGCCATAATGACTGCAAGTGGCCTGTCTTCTGATCCTCCTGGTTCTAATTGCCTCTTTCCTGAGGGTAACTTGACCTCTGTGCGCGGAGATGTGATTGCTTTCCACGGTTTTGACGAAGGTTCTACTGAATTTTGTTCAAGCTGTGAAGACTTTCATGATCTGCCTCACTACATGTTTTATGATGGAACAAATGGTTGCTGCATTCATGTTTCAATGGCCTGTCAAACTGTAAATGCCTATTATAATCCCTGTTCTTTTATGTATAAGTTCATTATCTGGAGAACTATGAGTTGTCTTATTGTGAAGTATTATTGTTTTAGGTGAGGATTTTTGGATCTATTGGCCATCATATTTTCCCTACTGGGTTTGGACCTGGCATAAATGCAACATTTCACCGAATTCTTGAATTTCGGTACGAAGTTTTGGGAAGTCAATCAATTTGCTCTTTGTGCTTACAATGCTTACATTGTTTTAGTTTTTCTCTGTGATGTCTCACATGTTCCTATTAGGTTTAACAAATTCATAGAGTAAAGTTCAGTTGGTACTCCTGTCCTGTTTTCTTTGGTCCTTTTTGCCCTTTTTCTTGATGCCTCAATTTGTTTGTCCATCTTTGACAATCAAACAACATACTCCTTGGATTTTCCAATAATCATTAAACCTTCAATTTATTACCATCTTTATAATTTTAATTAAGAAAAAAAATCTGCATGGGGGTAAATATGGAATTGTGAATGTAAATTACTAGTCTCTTTAACTGTATATGTTACTGAGTCACAATAAAGTCTACTTTGCCTTCTAGGTGATTTATATGCATCATGCTCTCTGATCATGAGAATTTTTATATGCCATTTATGGTAAAGGCTAGAGGGAGAAGTAATCATTTAAGGGAGATGCACATGTGGATGCTGGAAAATAGACTACTTGTAGGATGATTAAAGAAAAAGGATACTTTGGCATTCATTCAGTTTAGATGAATTTTGTTTCAAAATATTGCTAGCAGAATTGATTGTGGCATCTGAGAATGATACTAATATAACCTCTAAACATTATTGGATGATATTTTGTGCATGCATCAATGTGGCATTAGGCAATTTATCAGTCTTGAATTAAGCTGTTTCATGTTCTGTTGTTTGTGAAACCAGATTAATGCCACCTTTTACGTGATACTGATTGCAAAAGTTCGCCTCTTATATGCAATGTCTATGCGGTTGTACTTATTTAGATTATTATTATTCACACACTTAAAGCTTTCCTTATTTGATATGTTTGCTTCATCTAAGTTGTTTCCTTAAACTTTATTTGCACCTTGTTTATGTACTGATTTAATTGGTATCTCTTGGGTTTTCAGGGGCCAAAATACATTGATGTTAACGCCTGTATCAGTTATTGTGATAAACTCAATCAGGACAATCAATGAAGCATACAGAAAAAAGTGTGTCAATTTATGGTCGTCTTCATATATGCACAATGCTCCCTCCACAAAATTGGTGGCTTCTTCTGGTTTAATTTCTGAATTGATCCAATGCTCAAATGGCAATCTAAATCAATTTCGCTGCAGAGTATGTTTCGACTTTCATTTTAAAGCAGTTTTATGTCTCCTAGTTGTTTCACTTACTGTTTGTCATTGTTTCTGAATATGGTAATTGATGCCCATTTGATGTAATTATGATTTATCTTTTCATTATTGTTACAGGTTGTTGCTGTTCATGTCCTGGTTCTAGAGAAGAGGAAGAGGAAATGTAATGACTTGAAATCGAATATGCACTCCAGGCCTCTTAGTGTAGACATTCCTCTTGCTTGCTTTGTATTGGGTGAGTTACTCTCTGTGTACGAGATTGTTGATTGAATATGCCTGATTTGTCTTGTTTAGAAGCCACCAAGGTGTATAGCCTGCACAAAATTGGAAAAGCTATTTTATTCATATTATATTTTGTTGTACCTAGTGTTGCTACTTCAAACTTTCCTAGCGTAAGCCTTATGGTTAGAAGCTCCAAAGGACCGATTATGGTGGTAGGAGAATTATGTCCAATGTGCTCACTCTTACTTTGTCTCCAAGAGTTTACAGTTATATTGCTTGTGGCGTCTCCTGTGTGCATTTCAAGTTTAGTAGCATCTATTAAATCTCATTTTAGGGCTGTGTCTTCTTTATGAACAACGTAAACAATAATAGATATGCAGTGCATGAGTTATTCTAGTTGTGTGCCAAAAGTATGTTTTTATTATTCAAAAGTGGTTCTTATTGGATGACTGTTCTCTGAGCTACCACGCCCTCCGTCTTCTCCTTAACTGCCCAATAATGCTAAAAATACGTTATATTCTATATGAGCAGCTGACTGCAATGGATGGTAGTTCAACAAGATAATTGTTATTGGTTTTTCTCCCCCTTAATTTTGTGATAATCCATCAATGTGCATTGCTGGCCCTAATTTCTTTGATTTTATGTTGGGCCTCCTCAATAAGTTAAAGTTTTACTATTATTCTTCCTGCTTGCACGTTTAGATGATGGGTCATCCTCTTGCTGTTGCTGGGCCAATGGTGAAAGAGCAGCAACTCTGCTGAGGCTGCATGAACTCCCACCATCTGCCTTTGAAGCCAGTGGCTGCATAGGGAAGTGGGTTGGGATACAGAACACCACTCGGACCTCCACCATGTATCATCTTGAAAGAATTTTAGAGAAGCATGACAGGATTACTGTCAAAAACACTAGGTCAATCTGTGATTCTTTTGATCAAGATTTTGCTGTTTCTGTTAGTTCAGGAAGGGTGCTTACTGGCTCAAACGAGGACCTATACTTCCTGATATCAGTTATTTTCAATGCATGCATCAATACATTCTGGGTGAGTTTATTGGTGAAGCATAATAGATTGACTTAATTACTTAGTTCTGGTTGTTCCCTTTTTTATTTTTTCTCTAAGCTGAAATATTCTGGCTAGACATTCTCATCAGTTAGTGTTATAACATTTTGTTCCTTGATTCTCTATTACATGTTGAAATGTTTGGTTGAATGAAGTATTTCTCTTTGGCAGACTGTTGTTGCTGGAGTGATGGATTCTAATGCAGTCAGCTTGTTAAAAGAACACCTTGTCGAAATGGAAATGCCAATGCCTTCCATGCAAAATTTATGGGCCACAGAAGTTTGTTATGTTAATCAGCTGGCTGAGGCCAGGGACAAGATCCAAAAACTTGTAAAAAGGTAACTCTTGCTGCTACTAATATTTTTGCAATGTAATATCAAATCCTTGTTCTCTTGAGGTACATGTATCGGTTATGTAAATGTTGTCCTAATATGGTGGCTATGCTGGTAGTGGCCCCAGCTTTTTGTATGTATATCACCTGATAGGTCAATGAGATATTACTGATTTATAACTTCTGTCCTTTTCATATATGTTTTAAGTCCATGGTATCACTTCCTTGAGCTAGTGCCTCGGTACTAGATTATCTGGTGTCCAACAATACAGAATTTTGTATTTGGTAATTTCAATTTGGGTAGATGTTCAATACTCTTTCTTATTCTAAAGTCTATAACTCTTCATTCATGTAACAAACTCCTGGTCTCTTAAAGACAGTGCTCGATCAATACAACATTCAAATCAAATCCTGGTGGTTGAATGTTGGAATAAACTACCGAGTTTTGCTTTAGTTTGTTGACATATAATAATTTTTGCTGTCATTTACTATTTAGGTAGCCTTATGGGCTTTAAAAGATTTTGGTTACTGCGATGCTGTATTAACCCATTGCCAAGCCAGACGACTGGTGATCCTTACATCATGCTGAAAATGCAAATCCACCTCGTTGATAATTAAGGTGAATTTACGATGTGGAACAAAACTTTGGATCTAGTCTGATTAATAACATTGGTGATGCATAGTACTTGTGACGTGATTCTCTGTGTGTCACTAATAATTTGAGGATGTGCAGACAGCTGTGGTTGATTTTTAAAATGATTCTGCAAGTTTTAAGGAACTTAATTGACATCATATGACCAGAAGTATCAAATGTCCATCCATGGTTTGCTCAAGAATTGTGTACGGTTGAATTATTTTGTGAGGAATCTAATGGAGTTGAAGCCTCCAACATTGGAATTTATTGACAACTTGATCTGCTGCCAATGAACTATGGAGGAAGATGCATTTGCTTCTCAAGCTGCGTCTGTTGTTGAATGGGGTTATCATCTGTGGTACAGAAAGGCCAGAGGAAAACACCGTCGATATCAACCAGCAGGACATGATGAAAAAGGTATTTGTTCGAGCCATTGAAAGTCATTCTATTGGCTGAATAATAGTAACAATGGTATTAAGAAATGTTGCAGATAGCTGGCAAGCTGATTGGTTAGATTCAAAATAATGTATCCGTGGTCCTTACTACCAAAATGGGGTTGGCCACTTGTGTATGAAAGAGGTAAGGTTATAAATATGAGCAGTGCTTAGTATGAGATCTTTGACTCCATATGTTACTAGTTTTTAACAGAGCTCAACTACCCATACCCGCGAGAATGAGGTCCCCCTCCGCCTCCCCCTCTTCAAATCTGCAAAAGCCTTTAAGAACTTATGTACTGGATTCATTCGGATTGGATGCTGTCCTCGTAAGACTCAGTCTCGGCTAATCTATTCCAAGGCTATCAAAACCATGATATTATCAGTAAAGTACTTTTGCTTTGCTGAAGAGTTGAAGCAAGCATCTATTCAGTAATTTCTTTGGCTTTACACAGGCTTCTGACTAGGTATTAGCGTGCAACTTTGCCCTTTTTCAGCTGTTATAAAGCAGGGATGGTTGCAAATTCCAATGCCACTCCTTTTAAGTTCAATACTATCTAACTGACTGGGCCAAATGAATTTGGACTGAAGATTGTACATAATCATCTATCTTTGAGTGTTATGGTTCAAACACAAATCATAAATTTTACATCACATCGTTTGTGTATTAATTGAGTTGACTATTTAAATGTTCACTTCCCCTTCAATATGTCAGGTGATTTTTGTGGCTGCAAAAGTTGGGAAGGAAAACGAAGGGGAGATGGGCTGAGGTGCTCACGCGCTGCTGAGTGAGAGTTAGTGTAAGGGGCTGGAGTTTGTGAATTGTATATAGTTAAGGTTGTTTTCCATGGTTTCTTACAGGTACCAGAAGAGAACTGCAAAAGCTCATCGACGTTTTCTGAAAAGGGCTTCTCTCTAGGAAAGGTTTTGGACTTTTACCTTACCCTTTTAGATTCCCCACCTACTTTTCTGATTACTTTTGCTCTTTTCCTCGGCCCTTTACTGTCCCTAGGGTTCTCCCAAGGTATTTTTTTTTTAATAAACAGTAAAAAACTACCCCACATCTTTCCCATTGGTCACCAGTAGTAAGCAGATCTATCTCTGATGTTTATTCACTCATTTGTTCATTTGAATCCTTCAGGTTCAGGCATCTTTTCTCTCTCAAACTTTAGGGGGTTATACTTGAAAATATTTGAGAGAGAAAGTGCATGCTATTTAAGCTTTTAAGCGCCTTCATACAAACAGTTTTTGTACCTTCTCTTCCAAGAGAATCTCTCTCTCTCTCTCTCTTCAGGCCGGATGGCCTTTTAGACGTCGTTCTATTGGCCACTTCTTTTCTCCTTGTGCACCTGCAGACACTAAAAATGTGTAAGGTCTTGTTTCTTTCAATGACCTGAGCCCTCCACTTTGAAGATTCTCCCTCGCCTCCCTCCCCTCTCCTCTTCCCACGAAGCCAAAAGAAAAGAAGAAAAACACTTGCCAGAAAGGAAAAAAGAGTTGCAACGTTCTTTTGGTTATTCTCAATCAAATTCTCGTCTACATCCCTTCCAGACCCTGTACAATTTCCTCTATGCTAAAGAGCACACTGGCACTTTGGGCAACATTTCAAGACTAGAGAGCTGAAAACAAAGTTTACCAGTCCCTCTCTGGGTCAGTGCTAAAAATGTCAATGCCACTAGTCCAGCAACCCCCACCGGTGACTGAAACGCAGCCATACAACTCCCACGCCACCACCCATGCCTCTATTGGTCCTGTTATAGCTGTACTTTTGGTGATCGTAATCTTAGGCATACTCGCAGGCATGATCGGACGGCTCTGCACGGGGAGGAAAATCATGGGCTATGGTCAGTACGACATTGAAAGTTGGATAGAAACCAAATGCTCTTCTTGCATCGACGGTAGGGTATATCCTCCCCCACCAAGGGCTAATGCTTCTGGTACCTCTGTTCCGGCATCAATTCAACACCACCCGCAGCAAGAATCCAAGCAAGAAGATCAATCCCCCTCAAACCCCAACACCTAACGTAGATTCTTAACGTGGGTTCTTGCATGTACACAGCATTTTGCTAGATTGTCGTCGGCTTTTGTTTGTTCACTGTCTGCTAGTCCAGTAAAAGCAGCAAGCTTGGTTTGAGAAGATTCTGTCGTGGGTTAGGGGAGTTGCTAGATTTTGAAATTTGTGTTCTTTATTTTTAAATGGAAATGTTTTGGCTCGTTCACTTCGTCAATCTTGAAATTAGTATTGAAAAACTTGGCCACTACTTCTCATTTGATTTGAGGACTTATTTCAGTCACCTTGATTGATTATTCTCGATTCAGTTAGTTTGCCAAGACCCCACATTGAAGAAATATAAACAAGGCGAGGGCTTGGGCCTAATTAGGCATTTACAACATCCATTAGAGAAAAGAAATATCTTCTACTATTCTCTATAATAAGTAAGCAATTGTTATTTCGGCGAATTTTCTACATCAGAAATTTCATGAAATTGATTATAGATCTCAATATTAAAAGTACTGTAATAAGATTCATTGTAACATATTACTGCAACACAAGAAGTAAGATCATAAAAATCTGATCTTGACTAAACTGTGTTGTCAAAAGACTTTTGTGGGTTAAAAACGAACTATAATATTTTGATCTGTACTCAGTACTACAATGTATTTGTGTATGATATCCCTTGGGCATTGATAATGTTAATGTTATAGCAAGTTTCTGATCCACAATGCGTGTATTGAAAACATTCTTTTGTTAGGCGAGTATGAGCCGTATTGAATTCTGCAGCAGAAGGGTCATTAAATTGGAGGCCCATACACGCACGTTGTGACAAAACACAATGAATTGCTGCTAGGGCAGCCATACGTGCACCGTTAAGACATGTCAGTTCACATTATTTCTTACATTTATCACTCTCCATGTAAGTGTTTTGTTGTATTCAGGGGGAAAAGTACCACAAGAAAAGATCGAATGCCCTAATGGAGGTGACCAAGTTTCTTTTTGGGTCTTTTGGTTGCCTTAAGGTTTGGTTCGTTTCCGTCTCCATAATCAAATTGTCAATGAACCCACATGCACATGGTAGACATTGACTGTATGTTTTTCATCAACTTATCAAGAAATAGAGATTAAAGAGTGGAAGTGGGGAATGTTGTGCGACAGATGATAGAAACTTGAAGAGAGAAATATCGGCACCAGGTGGAGGAAATCCTCATAGGACAGAGGCGCCAAAAATGGCCTGCGAGCTGCGGTGAAAGGGGGACTCTTCACCATTTATTTTTGCTTGCACATCAGCTAAGAAGGTGGGAAATCAAACCCAACTGCATCATTAGCATTATTTGCTCATTCTAGCCACCTCTCCTCTAATGTTGGTCGGTCCAACATCAAGGGCAATAGCTACAAATTTGTTGACAGGTAAGACTAATGCAAAAGTGCAGACATGCAAATGCAGACAAACATCGATCATGAACATATTGAAACTCTGTATCAATTTGCTTCTTCATAAAGACAGCCATCGGCAATGCCTCAAAGATGAGATATCATGGCTAACAGTAATCAAGCTGTCCGTTCTCTGACTCTTCACTGTAAGTATCTCTTCACCACTTTCCAGCAACTCTGAAGTCTTTTAATTGACTACAGCTGCATATCAAGACACTGCAAACACCTCTCCTCCCCACAGAAGGGAAGGAATAAAATGTGTCTTCAAAGAACTTACAATGGTAAAAATATCATTGTTGAGGAGATGAGCAAGAGCTACCGCCACATGTAGGATGCTTTATCTTGAGAAGATGAGAGAGACCTGCCACTACATGCAGCCGACTGCTGGGAATACCTGTTTTTGCAAGTGCCCACCCATTTTTGTCCAACAACACGAAGCAAGGAACATATTTGATGTCGTAATGAAGAAGCTACATGAAAAAGAATATAATAGTCAACCAGAACTTTATATCAAATTACTTTGTAAATAAAGATCGGGAGGAATTATATCTCTTACACAGGCAGAACATGCTTAAAATGATACAAAATCATCAATTATGATCCTCCTAAGTCTTAACTCAGTCCCAGAGAGATAATTAGAAAGGTTGCATATAGTAAAGTGAAAATAAGTAGAAATGCAAAACAAGGGATAATCATAGTCCATGATAAATAATTTTAAGAATAATAAGAGAAAAAGCACAATAACAAGAAGTTCAGTGAAGAGGTGCTCTCTGAACTTGCTATATTTTCTAGTTTACTAACTAGCACTTGAAGCAACTTCTTCAGAAAACTTCCTTTGGAACTCAAATAGCAAACAGAGACATAATCCATTGAACTCAAATACTGCAATGCCTAAACTGCAGCTTTCTCTAGTTTCTTCCATAATATCTGACGAAGAACCTCCTTAACAATATTCAGGTACTTATCCCTTAAGGCACTTTCAGATGTCATATGGATATTGAATATGAAACTTACTTAAGAGAGGTTTCTACATCTAAATGAAGCCATGTACAACTGGGGAAAAGAAACCTAAGTCTTAAATAAAACTAGTATAAGCAATGCTCTCACGAGAAATCCTGATACTGAAGCTTCTCCAAAGTCTTTAAGCAGACAAAACAGGTTTTACCAAATGAAAGAGGGGGACTTGTCCTGGAAATGAAAGAGATTAACATATTGAAAGGAAAAACTGGCTAACACCAGCCATAATCTTATAATAGTACTAGCTATTATTGGACCACTCAAAATTCCGGGGCACAAAGTTCATTATGTCCTATAAGCTGTTGATCTAATAAGTAGTTCATAGATTGTGATACTTAATAAATCCAAACCAGTTGATTACAACCGATAACAATATCCATAATCCAAATGGATACTATTCGTAATATTAAATGCATAAGATCCCAAAATATATTTTAAAAGGTAGAAATAAAAGATTCTGACCAGAATATTCATTTTCAATGTTTGTTCATATTGATGCCGATGTACTTATTTGTGGAAACAAACACAGAGTGGTGGCAGAAAAAATTCAACCAGGTAAAACAAAAGTATTTCATACTTCAGTCTGTAACATATAAGCAATATCAGGAGAAAAGTACCTCAGGGAGCCATTTCTCATTCTCAGCATCAGCCATAACAATGTTGAGCCAATCTGAATTCCTATTCTCCAACTCCATGACTAACTTAAGTAAGGAATTACATAAACTACATTTAGGTGAGTAAAACTCAATCACTGTAGCCTCCTTTCCACTTGCTAGCGCTGATGCAAGAGCTCTATGCTCGGCCTCCCCTTGTTCTTCAGGACTCAATATTTTCCTTTTCAACTTCAAGTTGCCATTTAGACTACTCCCAGCAGCCAATTGGGCAGGATTGAAATTATTGAACCATGAACCAGAAGATTTCGAAACCGAGTTGAAAGAATTTAGAACAAGGGATCCTAAATTTTGCATAGACTTGAAAAACCAAGGACCTTCAAAGGTACAAAAGTTAGGACTTTTCGGCTGTTTGCTAATATCCCATGGCCATTTCAAACAAAACAAATTTTCTTTAGGAACTGAACTCATCTTCTTCTTTAATCTTCTTTTTTCCTGAATTAAGATAACCTCCAAAATGGGTCCTTTCTTTTTATCCTCTTTGCCACAATGGTAGAACCCAAGATTCAGAATTAATATACTCTGCATAAAGATTAATACTAATAACTTTTGGAGTTCATTAACAAAAACCAGCAAATCCAACTAGAACTTGTTAACCAATAGGAAAAAAGGAAGAAGGAAGACGATGGTGCAGGGTAATCAAGAACACTTACCTCTGAACACTTTCAAGAACGAAACTGAACTCCGCTACCAAGAGAACAAGCAGTCTAGGGGCCAACATAAACCGACAAACCTCTAAGCCCTTGGGTTGGGCTATCTTATTTGCTTTCATGGATTTATTTCTTTGGGTACTCTAAGCCCTTTTTTTCCAGTTGGGCTTTGAGGATTTGCCTATGTAGTCCAAACCTCTAGGCCAATATAAAAAATTTTCCACACCATACCAACTTTGAAGTCACAAAGTCTCCTCTAGAAGTCCAACAAATTTGCCAAGTTTGGTTCTTGACTTTCTTGTAGTAGCAGAGTTCAGTTAACATCCGAGCAAGAGTCAGGAGAAATGCCGTTGGTTGACCGGGTGTAATGTCCAAGTGTGTAACATTGAAAACCCGCTTACTAACCCACACTCAGTTGTATTTGGATGACCTTAACGGCTCCCTTAATCATATCCAAACCCTTTTGTTCTTCCTCAAAATGGACATCCACCCAATTTTTGATGACCAAATGTTGCTCTTCAACCCCTTTAAATGACAATCACACCCTTCCCCTTTTGCTCTCATTTTTCAAAGACGATAAGAAATGGGGTTTTTCATCATTTTGTTGGATAGATTGAGGTGTGACATTAAGGTAAATTAGCTAATGAGAAAAGAATTAACATGAGCTTCTATGAAGTAGCCAAAGTTTGAATTGTGAGTATGTTGAATTGTTCTCCATTCTCTAGAGGTTAGGAAAAAAATGTGATTCTAGAGGAAGATCCCGTTGAAGAACAATGCCTTGTCTCTCCTATATAAACCCCAACTGGTGCTCCCATAACCATCAGCAATTCAGCATCTCATCATTCCAATTCCCAAGCTAAGTTTCCCCCAAGCCCACTAGAGAAACTTGTAAGCAAAACATGGCTTCAGGGGTCAATGCTCAAGGAAACATCATTCTCCTGGTGGCTGTAGCTACCTCTCTTTTGGCAGTCACTCAGGCTGCCACCGTGGTCGTTGGAGGCTCTGAAAACTGGCGCTATGGTTACAACTACACGGAGTGGGCGGCCAACAACGCACCATTTTACTTTGAAGACACCTTAGGTTCATACCAACCAAACCATATGAAGTTCATACATTCCCCTCCCCCCTTTTGGTTCCATTTTCTATGATACTGATGTTTATTTTACCCTTGTTTGTACAACTTTGCAGTGTTCAAATATAAGGCTACCCCAGCTCACAGCGTTTACCTGCTGCCAAACTTGTGGAGTTACTTAACATGCGATTTCAGTAAAGCAAAGCTTTTGGCTAATCCAAGTCAAGGACAGGGCAATGGCTTCAAATTCGTGCTAAACCAATGGAGGGTTTTCTACTTCGCTTCTGCTGAAGGTAACGACTGCAAAGATGGGATGATGAAGCTCATTATTGTGCCTTGGCCACGTGCTTAAAATCCTTTTATAAAACACCAAGGGAGACTGCTCGGTTTGAAGGTACTCAATCGTTTGGGAGAGGACCATCAGCCATGATTGAATAAATATAATAAAGGGTCATCACTTGGTCATGATCAGTCATAAAATTGTTCAATGTTCGTTGTATACGTTTTGTTCTATTTTTCCCTTCGATGGGTAGACGTCATAGGAAAAAGTTCGTGAATTGCTTTCGTTCTTGTTAAAACAAAAGGAATTGTGTTGTGTCTTGTTGAATGCATATCTGTTATCATTATACAGAAATAAAATTGAGTTTTCTCTATTTACAGCTTAAATTAGTGCTTCCTCTTGACCATACGTACTCGTTTTTGGTGTTGCTTTATCAGGTTGCCATCTCCCATGTCCAAATTCTACTAATGGACCTCTCACATCCTTTGCTTCCATTAATTTGCAAACATTTTTGAGGTGGCCCAACTCCATAAGTTTTATATTCCCCCTCTCTTTTGGTCCATACCCTAACCTTTATAGAACATGTACTTCTCTCAAGTAACAACCATGTTGCAAAAGTGTCAACTAATTAGGCAAATGATGCCCCGGAATGATGGCACTTTTGCCAAGCATGGTAGGCAAACTCAATACCCTGTGGACATTGACAACCATTCCAAAGCCAATCTAGCAGAAACCTGACGCGGTAAGCCCTTTACCAGAAGTTTTAACGACTAGATTAATGACAGGTTTGGCGCATTTTGAACACGCATGTCCTGACAATCAGGCTTAAAAATTCTACGCTGGTGCAGTGAAAGTGGGATTGACCACTGGACGGGACGCGGCTTTGAGTAAACTCACTTCTAGCCAAAGAGAAACAGCCTCTCATCTGCAACTTCTTTTGCTTTTCCTAATCCTAACCTACCTCACTAGTAAACACTTGCAGCTTTCCTCATGCCAGGCCCAGAATGTCAAATTTTGTATTGTTTTTCTCTGACTTGGACCTGTTCATAGTGTTTTACATTCTAGTAACTAGATAAGCAGGGGCAACCGTTTCTCATGCTTTGTCAACATTCCACTTTCAGCTGGTGGTTCATTGCGGCCTGCTCAGTAGCTTCATTTGGGATTGGAGTACATGTCTTTGCCCGTCCTGAATGAAAAGGTAAATTCACTTCTTATCTACCCTTAACAATAAGATTACCAGGCCCACGTCTCGTTGGCAATGATGGTTCCATTGACAACAACAGGGCCTATCAGCTGTCCTCTGAGCCAAGCTGGTATGCCAAGAGATAAACATAGAACCCAGAATCAATGGAACACTGATTTTTCTGCGCAAATTTGAACCCTGCGAATGTACTTGGAGCCCAGTAATGGAATTTTGCAAAGGTTGTCGGTGGTTCTGGAGTGTATCCTGGAAAGTGATTAGCGATCAAATTCACAAAGACATTCAGATATGAATCATATCATATGATGAGATTTGATTACCTGACACAGTTCATAAGTCATAATAGTAAAATTTCCTGGTATCTTATCAGGCACAACAATCTTGTAATGGGAGTGGTTCTGTTTTCAAACGTTTACACGATCTGTAACTTTGGGTTCTGAGACATTTATTCCCCTTTTTAGAACCTTAACTCCTATGAAATGAAGAGCTTGATCCCCTTGAGATTATTAAGGTTACTCCCGTTCACACACATCTTTAGAAACTGGTTATCGGATGTGTGTCAGGGGGTGCCTGAAATCAAACAGCATTGAAAGCTACATTACTTAAAACCACCCTTTTTGGCCAAAAGGCCCAAGGACTTGGCACATTAAAAACATGCATGCCTTCATCCAATAAATATAAAATTCAAAAGTTGTTGCTGTAAAGTGGGACAGAGCTTTCATTGAATCTGATTCCAGCCAACCCCTTTCTCTCTGTTGGTTACCTTTTTCACCCTTCCATCAAAGAAAATCCCTCCAATTTTCATCAGGCAAGGTCCTCATTCTTTGAACTTCTAAGGGTAAAGGACAATCTAGATTTTAACCTGCAGATAAGAAGGAAAAATGTGCGGTTAGGAATGTTTTGGCCACTTTGATTGAGCCCTACCTTCAGGGTGAGGCACTAAAAGCATGCAAAAGGGTTCACTGATCCTGATGGACAGCTGAACGCTTGATGCTGTAACATATCCCCAAGCCAAGTTCCAGACTGCTGCTTTGTACAATTGGGTTCTTTGGTCTGAAAGCTATTTCCATTTTGATGCGGGAACCAAGCCTATTACAATCAGGATTTAACAGTTGATATAAAGAGCATTTATGAGTTTTGTTGGGGGTGGAAAAACAACCAGCAGAGCTTGCTATTTCCTTACGTTCCTCCAAATTGTACTTTTGAGACAAAATCTAAGCAAGTTTGGATTTTGTACTTTGAGCAAAAAACATCAGCACTAGTTTGTCTTTCTAAATGCTCACAAGCAAGAGTACAGAACCCCATAATTATTTCTATTTATATCTCTGAATTATTATGCAAAGTTATAAAACAAAAATAGGATATTGATGGGGTTTTAGGTACATACATAATCTTCAATCCTTATCATTGCATTACTGAATTCTAATTAACTTCTACAAAAAACTGTTTCTAGTCACAACAACATCTTCATTCGTTTAACTTTTATTCTAATCCTCAAACAACATGATAAGTATTAGTACTTGTCAACCCTTTGGCCTCCAATTTGTTGATGAGATTTAACCTCAAAACATTTAAATATTTAGTGTTATAATTTTTTTTTGTCTGTCTTTGTTTCGTTTTCTAAATATTAAATATAGAAAACACCATGAATAATATAAATTACATTTTATTTAATTTGCATTCACTATTTTCCAAAATTTTTTAGAGAATAGAATATCTGCCCAAGGAAAAGGAGAACCCCAAACTCTAGAAGGTGGGAATAATGAAATCTGGTGAGTAGAATTCTAATTTTTCTTGGTCAACATAAAAGGATTTCAGCAGAAGAATATTTAGTCAGTATGTTGTAGTAAGAATCAACATTGTCTGAACCAGTTAATGCACTTGTCATCTGGTTGCATGGCCTCCCTCCTCCTAGAATAGGGAGAATCCTCAAGCGGAATATACATGGTTTCCCCTCCCAAAATTTCCCATTTCTCAAAAGCATTGGGAGTATAGTACTTGGAAAGAAGCTGTTAATTAATTAAATGTCAATTTTAGGCTACTGGTGACAGGCTGTGCTGTCTTGCAAAGTAAATTTTTGTTTAATGCCTGGAGCTCGGGCATTCATTCATGAAATCTTACATTTCTTTCAAGGTTTTTTGCCCTTTAAAGAAAGCAAAAAGAAACAAAGATCACCATATAAACACCAGGAAGAAAATCGAAAACCCCCTCCCCAAAAGAAACCCTTTCCCAAAGAGGACATAAGAAACCAGAAAACAGATTGGCTTAGCCATTTTTTTTATTGTTTTTATCTTAATGGGAACCCTGGAGTCTCAGCTGATATCGTTGTGGTCATATACTCTCTTACTTCTCTTGCTATCACATCTCTCATCACATCCCAAAACTCCGCTGGTACTCTCTCGTCTCTACTCCTCCTCTCCGCGAGCACCACCGCACTTCCGCTCGGAACACCACTACCAGGCGGGGCTAGAGTCAACGCCGTCAACGCTTCCTCATCCATCATCATCCCCACAGATCCCAATGCATTATCACCACCCTCCATTTGCTGATGGCTCTGTACAACCTGTTCCTGTTGATGTAGCAGCATCTGCTGTTGCTGTTCTTGTTGCTGCTGCTGTTGTCCTCCTCTTGCCCTCCTCTTCAACGTCGAGTTCCAATGATTCTTCACAGCATTGTCAGTCCTCCCAGGAAGCAATCTGGCAATGGTGGCCCACCTGTTACCATACCTAGCGTGAGCAGCCAAGATGGTCTCATCCTCAGCCGGAGAAAACGGACGGTGCTCGACACTGGGGCTCAGCTGGTTACACCATCTAAGCCTGCAAGATTTCCCCGATCGACCCTTTATATATCGGCTTATCAAAGACCAGTTCCTGGCTCCATATCTTTCAACAAGCCGAGTCAAAATCCTATCTTCCTCCGCACTCCAAGGACCTTTGATCTTCTCAGCTTTGTTCGAAGCCCTTGCAGATAAAGATGACTCTGAAGAAGATGTATCAGATGATGATGTAGAAGATGAACACCTATTCATTGCTTCCATCTTCAGTCAGTTACCAAAGAGAGATCAGCAGAACAGAGTTTCCTTTTCTTACTTCTTTTGTTTGTTTTTGTTCTCTTAGAGTGAGGTGTATAAACGCTATAAGAATAAGGTGAAGTGAAAACAAGGGTGGTTTATATACGAAGAAGGAAAGGGCAGCCAGGGAGATGCATGAACATATTAGGCGCCTAGCATTTTGAGAAGGGGTACTTCCAGGAAACTAGCTTTTGTAAAGTTGGTGGGGGGTCTAAGTAGAGACTAGAGAGAGAAAGGTCTGTCTAGATCCACACCCCTAGGTTATTATTACATTATTTTTTTCAGATATCTTGTCATTCTGTTCTTGTCTTTTCTTACCAATTTACCATTTTGGGTCCAATTCGGTTCAATTCGATTTTTCACTTTGCTTATTATCTTTTGAGAATTGAGAAGTAATCTTGCCTTATCCCCTCACCCCTCTCTTGAGCCTTTGTTTCTGAAGGTTTTGCATACAAATGAATTGGGCCCTACTTGTGTGGTAAATGGTAGATAAGATAAGATAATCCAGACAGACAGACAGACTCATCAATTTTGCTTAAAAGCATTTTCGTAAAGATTTATTTATAATTATTATTCATAAAATTAATCGATATAATTTTTTATCGAGCCAAGTAAATTTATTTTTACAGGATAAAAATGTTCTAAAACTTCAAGACATGAAAACATTCATTTCATGTATTATTTTTATGAAAATGCATGAGACACTTTGCATTAATTGTGATAGAAGAATTCTTTAATTTATCTTGTAAATCATTTAGTCAAAGATAAAGACTTGAAAAGTACATATAT